CGGAGTCGGTTAGTGGCTGGAACAGCGGAGAGAGAAAGTGACAAAAAAAAGTTGTAGAAACTAGGCAAAGAGGTTGGTTTTCGGTCAATTTTGGACCTGATATTCTCCTCCCTCAGGCCATCAACTTCGCCTTTATTTATAGCTGGTGAAAGAGGATAATCTCGTCTACACAAGGAAAAAAAACTCAGCCCTTAATTCAGTCAGGAAACATCCCAACCGTTGGCTCAAAGTGTGCCTCATGAGTTGTTCAATTTGTAAAAAAGGCTGCCTGAGTTGGCTATTTTAGGCCGGCGTCGGCGCCGTCTCGTCACCATTTAGACTGAATTGTTTAGTTGGAATTGTAAAGCAACTACACGAGATCATTCTCGTGCACTTTTTGTTAGATTTGACGGAGCAATGAAGTATTAAATGCATATAAAAAGTAGCCACCCGGGCAGCAATTCCGGGCAAAAACGGGAAGACAGTGAACAGTGTCGAACGACGCGTCGTCTGTTTTTTTTTTTTCTTTTCAAAACATCGCCGTTTTGGATTAATTAGGGATTTTTAATGATTTTCAATCCAGCCTTCCAGTTTTTAATTGATTTCAATTAAACCCCTAATTAACCCTAAATTCTTGATTTAATGCAATTAAGCCCCTGGAGAACTTCAATTGGAACCCTGAAGTTATGTGACTTTTACAATATGGTCCTTGGCATTGGATTTTGTCAATTAAACCCCTAATTAACCATTAAACTTTCAATTTTTTCAATTTCACCCTTGGTTTTGTCAATTAAGCCTCTTAATTTTGGCGCCTTTTACAGATTGGTCCTTGGATGCGAATGTTTTCAATTTAACCCCTAATTGATCCAAAAATTTAATTTTCTTGCAATTTGGCCCCTAATTTCAATCAATTAACTTGGTAAAAATTAAATTTGATCTTTTAAAATTTCAATCTTCTCAATTAAGCCCAAATTAGGCTACCAAACTTAATTTTTCACCAATTAAGCCTCAAATAAAATTAATTTGACCCATTTTAAAGTATAATTAAGTCCTTACACTTAATTAAATCCTTCAATTAGACCCAAATTAATTCTTAAACATAATTAAAATTTAATTTAGCTCATAATTAAATCAAATTGGCCTATTAAAAATTTAATTATGTTCATGGACTTGCAAATTTATCTAATAATCATTTAATTTGACCTTGAATTTTTTTTTTTCATTTTTAGGCACAATAAGATACAATTAAGTCTTGAACTTCCTCTAAATTGCAGCTTAATTTTTTTTTTATTTTTAGGCACAATGAGATACAATTAAGCCTTGAACTTCCTCTAAATTGCAGCTTAATTCCCTAGTCTACTTTGTTTATGTTGTCAACCATTATTTTTTTGTTTTGAAAAGAAAATTAATATTTTGAGGGAATAACTCAAAATTGGTTCATGATAGTTCACATTTGATGTTTAATCTACATAATACCGAAATTGACTTTTAGTTTTCTCTCAAATCTCACGTAATCCATGTTAATTCTAATTAAATAACAATTAAGCATGTTTAAACTTGATGTCAAAGTTTAAATTCGAAGGAGTGTGTTATATGTTTTATACAAAAAACAAAAGTATTTTGTAGCCTCATCCATGGATTGAGATCATGATTGTTTGATTAGGTATGAGCAGTGACAATTAGGTATGAGCAGTGACGTTTATAATTTATTGTGATTTTCTATTCTCTTTATATTCGGCTCTCTTCACAGATTAGATTCAATGTAAATAACTATTTGTAATTATTTCTAAAGTAATATAAAGTTTCTCGGTTTTATTTCAGAAATTACATTTAAATATTTGAATTTTTTATTAATAAGTAGGTAAATACAATCGTTATTAAATTCCTTTCAACTAAATAAATTTACTTACAAAGCTAATGATATAGAACCTTCTTGGGTTGAGTTTATAATTAAATGGACTCGACCGGGTTAAAAAATTAATTTATATATATATGAGTAACAAATTGTTTATAGTAAGATTTAAACTTTGGTATCTTTTATTAACTAAAAAGTTTAACCAACTCATCAAGATTAATATGTTAAAAGAGTATAAAATTAATTAAAATTATTCAGATAATTAATTAATTATATCTACTCGTTGATCTATCATGCTAACCCACAACATAATATTCCATATCCTAGTTAGGTCAGGTCTTGAGTTGAGTATGGGCAAAACTCTCGCTATTTCTCGAATCGTTATTGGCTTTCCTTTTCTTTCTCTTTTTCTTTTTCAATTTGGTAATTATAAATTAAAAAGAAATCTTAATGGAAACATGAATTGTGTTCACAGTTCATGCCATTAACAAAACAATAAATGGTGTGGCTGGCTAAATCATGGTAGCCACACCCACAAAATATTTTTTTAATTAATAGTGATTTGTTTTTTTAGTAATTTTTTTAATTTAATTTTTTATCAACCTAATCTTTTTTATTCAGTTTTTTCTTTAATTTTATTCTTTAATAATAAAATATTTTGAAAATTATGTTTTGTATTTTTACTTGATTTCCTTTCAATTAGATTATATACTGGTCTTACAAATCTATTTTTTTTTTATTTTAGCCTTCAATATTAGATTTATTGGAAGTAAAACTTTTTTTTTTAATTTATGTTTTATAAATTGATTCTGATCTCATAATTCAGCTCGTGAGTTTAACAAGTTAACTTGAGTTGATTCTAGTTATTTTTTTGTTTTTTTTTAATTATGTTTTTCTCAATTTCTTCTTTTAATATTATGTTAGTTGAAAAATGAGTTTTATAATTTTTTATATTTTAATTTATATGAGATTATCCTGATCTTATGCCTCAAGTTGGGGTATAATAGGTTTACTCGTATTGACTCTGTTTAATTTTTTGAGTCCTTTTTTAATTGAATATTTTTTTAATTGGGCTTTGTAATCTTTTTTTTATTTACTTTTCATAGGATTGTATTAATCTCATGACTTACATTGCAGGTTTGATATGTTGACTCAGTTTATTTATTTAAATATTTTTTTAATTGAATATAACTTTTTTTTATTTAACCCTCCAACAACTCAATCTTCTTTTTTTTGATAGGTTTTTTTTTAATTTTTTTTTAGCATTAGGTTTTTTTAGAATTGGATTTCATAATTTTTTTTAATTTATTTCATATGGAGTTATCCCCGTCCCATGAATTTTTATTTTTTATTTTTTATTTCAACATTTAACATTAGATATATTAGAAATGAAGCTTTATAATTTTATTTTTATAATTTTTTATTTTATAATCTAGGTGAAGGATTTAACAATTTAACTTAGGTTAACATGGATTTTTATTTATTTATTAATTTTATCTTTCGACATTAGATTGAATGAAAATTAAACTTCATAAAAAAATTTTCAATTTTGTTTTCTGTAGGGTATCATATCTTGAGACCCGGGTTCTGGAAATTGATTAAAAATTATTTTTTATAAATTAAACATCCAAGAATCTTTAAATCCACCTAATTAGGATTATTTTATATGCATTAGAATCTTAAATTAAGCTATCGCTTTACTTTGCTATAAAATATAGAGAAATGATCCAATTCCATGGACACTTGATTAAGCCCATTCTCCAACCACCAAAAACCTCCTTGGATTTTTTAACATCATCATGGCGTTATCTATGAAAAATTAATCAAGAAATCATCAACTCGTTAGAACTTGTTTTTGATAAAAAATTATCAATGATAGTTTTACTGAAACAGAATACTTCTGTGTATGAGTTAGTCAATAAATTTATCATTGATTGAATAAGAGTGAAAATATCGATAAACAATTTCATCAATAAATTTAAAAATTCTGTAGTGAAATTCCATAAATACTAGTCACCACATAATGTTTGATGAAAATCATCCTCGCACATTTGGCGAGACTCCATTGCACTTAAATGGAGGTGAAGCTATGCCAGTAGTTGTAATGTGTTGTAGACACATGCTGTCCATTATGAACTTTGGGCTCATGAACAATTTCTTTTGAACAGTGAAAGTGTTGAGGAGACTTGGAAGAAAACGAGCAACGAATGAATGTTTCTGGCATCTTGAGATGTAGCATATTATTTTGTCCATCATTTTTGTATGCGTGATCATTTGATTCTCATTCACTTTGATTAATCAACATCCATTGAACTAGATGACGTTAACGAATCAGAAGGGGTCGTGAACATTAACGAATCAGAAGGGGTTGTGAACATTAATCCCATGGGAGAGACAGATCAAGAAGCATGAAAGTTCTCCATGACAAGAACCTGATCGCTCTAGCTGGACAAGCAGACCCTTTTTACCAGTTCCTGATTTCTTGCTTTACAAAAAAGGGTGCATCTGTGTGATGGATGGTTTGTCCATTGGCTAACTGCAATCGAGAGAACAGTTCACCAGTTTAAGTTATAGTAATCTTACATGATTGATTATTTCATCTTGTTGAAAAATAACCTCTGGCAGCAATCCTCACCTTTTTGGACTCGTTTTTACCACACTCACAACAAGCAACAACTTCTCCATATGGTTTCCATCTTGAGATGTGTAACTGTTTAAACACCCTTTTTTTTTACCGGATTCCAAAGCTCTCATATCACTGTGCTTAAAGAAAATCCAAAAGTGAAGGAAATAAGAACAGAACAGAACAGAGAAGGCTCATGATTTATATGTATTGGGCTTAGTTCTTTATTATTTTGATATTAAATCTTTGGCTTCTATCTTAAGTAAATTCCAAAAACATGTGAACTATCTTGTTCACAATCGTGAGAGAGAGAGAGATAAAGAGATTCAGCAGAATCATATATCAGACAAGTGTTCCCTTGAAACTGCTGATGCCAGGACAACATCTAAACCTAAGAATGACATAAGAAATGAACCTGTAAAGCAAGATGAAACACACCATGATCACCACATTTCTCCACTTTTCATCCTCTCTATATCCTTCTTCTCTAAGCAAATCTTCTGCATTAACCATGCATTTCCCAAACATGTATTCCAAGCATTTGCCTGAATTTGAGAACTCATTTATCAGAAACCCTTCAAATGGATACTTAAACAGCGATATATAGTGCATGAAGATCCAATAATTTGGTATTCCATGCTTCGATGTGAAGTAGCCGGAGAACAAGAAGAATGACCCCATCACCCCTGAAATAACTGAATTTCCAACGATGAAGTTAGGCACTAGAGCACTGAAACACACCACAACTGAATTCGCTGTGTAGAGAATCAACCAAATCAACAACAGGAAATGCATGAATGCAATGAAATTTGGATTGAGCCCCACTAGCCAATATAGTGGAATTGTGAATAGTATGGCAAGGATGAGTAGAAATGGCAAGTAAACTAGTCCATTGGCAATGACATATGATGAGACTCTATAGCTCCCACAAGATGTCTCCTTCATAAGAATCTCCCTTTCTTGCAAGAAGATTGGTAGAGCTTCTGTTGTGCAAGATAACAAGAAAGTCAATATAAAAGCAAATAGGCCTACCCTTTCTTCTGCTCCAATCAAATCATCTTCAACTTTGTAGAAGATAGAGCCCAAAACAAGTCCAGAAATCAGCATTTGAATTGTCCGGCATGCGAAAAGCTCCTTGGTTCTGAAAATGTTCTTGGAGAACCTATGAGTGAGGATCAAAGTTTCTTGCAACCTTGAATTAGCAAAACCAAGAGGAAAATCAAACTCAACATTGATAATTTCCTCATCAACTACTTTCGATTGCTGAAAGAGCTGTTGAAGAGTGAACTTGCCACTTCTACCCTCGCCAACTTCTTCAATTCTCTTCTTCTGTGGTTTTGTTGATGATGATGTTAGCACTTGGGGTTGCATTTCTTTCTGCAAGACTTCTCTTTGCTGTTGAATGGTTTCAATGGACTCAATGGCAAATTCAACAACATTGACATGAATAGGAAGATGCATTCCCATTGTCCTTAAATTAACACCAAGCTGATCCACCGTGCCATGATGCAAGACTGATCCATTAGCCATCATAAGTATTGAGTTGAACAACTTCACAATCCGAAATCCGGGTTGATGAATGCTCAGTATTATGGTTCGACCTCTTGTCTCTGCCATGACCTTGAGCATATCAATAATTTGTAAAGCAGAAGTGCTATCAAGACCAGAAGTTGGTTCATCAAGAATTAGCACTTCAGGATCATGAATGGCATCAACTCCTATCGACACACGACGCCTTTCTCCGCCTGATATCCCACGAATCCTGTCGTCGCCAACTCGAGTCATGGCTACGTGATCCAGGCCTAACTCCTTCATCAGGGACTTAACATTAGAGCTCAGTTGAGCTTGAGGAAGCCTTAGACGCAGCTTGGCACTAAACATGAGTGTTTCTTCGACTGTAAGGAGGGGAAAGAGGGTGTCTTTTTGTGTGACATAGCCTGAAATCTTCTTGAACCGAGCTTTGTCAATAGGGTGTTGGTTGACAAAAATGGTACCATTTTGTGGGGTGAGTTTCCCAGCTAGGATTTCAAGCAAGGATGATTTCCCAGCTCCACTTGGACCAACAATGGCAAGGATTTCCCAAGGCTTTGCTTTGCAAAAAACATCTTTCAAGACATGCTTGGCTCCAAGGCTTGCTTCTTCGAGATCCATCACTTGCTTTGGTTCTTCATTTATTTCTTGCTTTTTGGTGAAGATTTTAAAAGGGTGCTCTCTTTTCTTGGTGGATATTTTGTAGGAAATCCCTATTGCTTCAACCTCACAACCTTGCTTCTTCATTGCTATTTTTCGCTCAAATTTTTGGTTTGGTTTCTCAAGATTCAACCAGTTTATTGGCATCACTAGCTAATATGTACGGCTGTTCTTGGTTTTTTTCTTTTTCTCCCAATGGGAACAAAAAGCAAGAAATAGTAGAACAATTACTGGATGGCTCAGAGGACTTGGAGGGTAGTGACAATTTCAGCCTAGAAATTGTTACAAGAGCTTCACGTGAAATTGTTCTTGATATTTTTTTGGTATTTATTTTGTTATGGAAAATTGGATAGTTCACATGTTTTGCTACGTGTAATCTTATAGTTTCTCGTTGTAAGTTTGGTGTTTTCCACTCAATAATAGTTTGTATTTTCATTTGAGAAACAAAGATTCTTAAGAAAATCAAAATTAACAAAAAAAAGAAGAAGGCTAAACCATGTTTTGGTCCCCCATGTTCTCAGCAAGTTAGTGTCTTAGCCTTCGTAATTCAAATTCGGTCAATGACATAAATCACATAATAAAAAATGACCAAATTGCATTTTTTATAAAATGGGGACTGAATTGAACATTCCAGCAACCTCTAAGCTAGGATCTTCCCTATTCAACAAATTTTAGCTGGTTGTAGGCGATATCTATCGTGTTAAAAAATAAACGTAATTGCAGAAAATAATTAGCCAGGTTTCTGGTAGTGTATGATGTATGCTTCAAGTCTCCTCACTCGGAAAAATAAAATAAATTAATCAACCATTTTGGAAGCATATGCATGCAGGAAGCTACCTCCATATGAGTGAAAAGTTAAGCATGGGACCCATTAGGGGCTCAAATATGTGGCTGAAATCACATTAAATTATAGTAGCTAGTAGCCTTTGAAATCTTTTCTATTAGTAGGATACAGCACCATTGTCAATCGACCATGGCTGCTGATAATCGACCCATGGCAGTGACGGTTTTCTACGCTTCAATCTGTTTTTTTTTAACAAAAAAATAAATCCAGGAGATCTAATTAATGTTAAACTTCTTAGAAATTGTAATAAGAAGTGTTAAAACATTAAAACATCAGTTTGAGGTATCTGTAATCATGTTCTATAGGCATATAAAACTCATCGATATCATGAAAGTATACAAAGTTTTTAACATTGTTTTTTTATTTTTTTACTGTTGACTTAATTTCTTCGTTATGTCAATTCTTAGCATAATTACAAACTAATCGACATCTTCTGCAATTCAAAATATTTTCTAGTTCAACTATTTCAATTGATATATCTCAAAAGCAATCTTTCTTACCATGTTCAAGACTCATATTTATTTATTTGCTTGCAAGTATCATCAAATATATATCATTGGGAAAAAATGGATTTAGGAGGAGATTCCTCTCTCCAGTTCCCAGCTCCTTCTGAGCTCCACAACTAGCTAGTCAGCAGAATCAAGTTTCCATACTGTAAAAGGAAAAGACAAGGGGCAAAAGGATGGATGAGGCAAAATGATCATGGCAGGAGAAAGAATCATTTACGTGGCTGAGAATTAACTTGACAAGAGATCAAAGTTCTGCATGTAGGTTGCGGGGCCGAAGAGATTTGTAGTTTTACCTTTAAGTGGCACTTTTTTCAAACTTGGAGTACTGCTAGCTCTCCTCGAAATCAAAGAAAAAAAAGCCTCATGTGGTGATGATGCTGTCTAGAGATTTGTTCATGTTTACAAATGCACGTAGCAGTAAGAACCCGTGACTTGATCCCCTCCCTGAGCTGGCCATTTCTGTGGTCGCTCAGGCACTCTGTGGACTCCATCTTCTTGCCCCACCAATCATGCTATCTACTTTGGCTAGAGAAATTACAGCCCACCCGTGAACCTTTTCCTCCTCCACCACCTTTCAATTATTCCACGTCGTTTTTCAGCAATTATTCAACATTGGAGGCGTATATGAAACATGATTGAATCATCCATTTATCTACATGTTTCTACCTGGTTGATGAATGGTAAACATGATGCATTTCTTAAGAATCACATTAATATAATATTATCGTGTAACTGGATCAGATTATAAGGTAATCAGGACTCCCTGAAACATTTCGACCTCTCAATTAAATTATTCCAATCAATGTTTTGTAAAAGAAAATAATTGTTTCGAAAATGACATGATTTTTTTCTGGTGCTGAAAATCACAATATATCAGTTCCCAAAGGCCATGTAGAGATTGTCTTATTTGCTCGGTAGCGAATAGGAAATCTCCAACCCTTTTGGCCCTTGACAACGCTGGTAGCTAGCTAGCTAGCTCAAGCAGACAGAGGCAGCCATGACCTAGTAATAGTATTATATCAAGCTTTTAATGTCAATATAATTGCCTTCCTGTTTTTATAATAAGGGTATAACTCAAATCCCAAGTGTAATTAAACCCTTTTTTCTGTTTTACAAGACAGAAAATCTCCAGCCAGTAATCAAAATCAAGTTGCTTGGTTGACTTTGGGCAGCCTAGTTTTGCTTAGCTCCTCGGATTAAAACAAACTATAGATGGAATCTTCGTTTATAATCCATCTCATTTTTGTTGTTTCCTCGAAGAAAAAAGATTAATCTCTGGAAACCATACACATATAGACAATTGCATGTACAATTGGTTACGACTAAAAAAGGATCAAATCCTTTATTTTGAACAACTGTAACACTGGTTGTGTCAAGTAATTAGCTAGAGTACTGTTGTCATTTGTTAATGACAGACTGATGGTTTAGTTTTTTTGTGAGAAACAGTCTATAGGGTTGATCAGACCTTGTCTTTATTTAGGTTTAGCTTGCTTAACCACTAGTATTTCTTCAAATCTGACGATCAAGACAGGATGCCAAGAAATGTATATAGTTTGCAGTCATGTAAGACCAAATTGATTAGTTGTAAGATATATGCCATGGAATAAATTATATTAAGATTATAATGGTTGGAATTATTTGGAATCTGAACCTCAAGTACATGAAGGGTATATATACCATGAAGGCATCCACTGATCATGATAAACAAGGGATTCCAGTCGAGTCTATCCAAAAAGAGTTCCATATTGTATTTATTACATTCACAAGATAATCATCCTCGCTTTTTTATTATAAAATATTTCTCAAGATAATAATAATAATAATAGTTGTTGTTGTATTCTTCTATGTATTTGTTGCTTATATATTTATGTTTAAATTACAAGAAAAATAGAATTAAATGAGCTCAATTTTTTACTGTGACCCTAAATATAAAAAGTTATAGATTTGAATAGTATAAATATCATTTTATTATTGTAAAACAATTGATTAAATTAGAAATTAGGAGTAAAAATATTTTTTTCATATGATACATTCCTCATTGCAAGATTGATTCAAGACAAAATAGTCCGGACATGTTTTTTTATTATAATATAATGATTATTTTACTCTTAAAAACAAAAAATAATAATCTTTAAACAAGGTGTCCTTTTATTTTTTAAAAAATAAATTGTCAAGTTACAATCATATCCTTAGAAGGCAAAAAAAAAAATTAATGGACAGAAAAGCTTCTTTCTTTTTTTATTTTTTTAAATAGTAAAATGATAAAACAATTAAAAAAAACAAAAACTATTTATAAAGGTGTTTTAGTTTTTTCTAACTACTGCTTTTATTATTTGGGCCGCCCCGTCTATCTGGTAGGCATCCAAACCTTAGCTGTTTTCACTTTTCATTGCAATAATACGAGTGAGAATATAGCAGGGCTTTTCTTTTCTGTACTTTCCTTGGTACGAAAAAAATAAAATAAAATAAAAATAAATAAATAAAAGAGGAATACAGGAGGCTGTTTCATGTCCCATTAGGAAGTGGGTTAATGTTGTGTGAAGCACTTATACTCCTTTTTTTTTTTTGTTGTCTTTATACCAATATTTTATATTAATTTTTTTTTTATCATGATTAGATCCTTAAATCAACATAGTTAAATGATGGCATATAATACACGAGACGAAATATTTAATTGATGTTTAATTTGGTTCCAAACTTTTTAAAAGATTTTAGTTTTGTTCTTATATTTTATTTCTCTTACAAATAAGTCCTTAATTGAAGTGTTTTTGTTATTATAATTTACAATAAATGCAATTAGTTCCTTAATAATTTTCTTCAATTAAGTTCTTGCATGTCAAATCTTAAACTTGGTCAAAATTGTGAAATAAATATATAATATTATAGAAAATAAAATTCTTAGTTTTCAGTGAGTATATCTATTTAGATCCTCTTAACTCTTATATTATTCATCAATCCATTTTAAATTGTATAAAAAAATATTTTTATAAAAAAATCCTATATTTATGATAATATATATGAGAAAAGAATCAAAGTTAAAGTAAAATCACTTTAGTGACCTAGAAAATAATAATAATTTATAATTTAATAAGATTTTTTGTTTCCTGTAATATCAAATAAAATATTATGAGAATGTTTTTTCTTCTCTTATCTTTTTTAAATTTATTTCCTTGTATTTTGTCTCAATTTTTTTAAGTTGATAACTTTGAAATTTTAAGGTTTTATTGCCTACAATATCATATATCTATTGTCATAATTATGACTAAGTTTAAGATTTGACATGTAGCTAGACAACTAATTAAAAAAAAATACCATATAGGAACTAAATTTCATTTAATCTAAAATACAAGTACCAAAAAAATAATTAAGAACTTATTTGTAAGAAAAATAAAAATATAGGAAACAAAATTAAAGTTTTGATAAATATTGAGGACCAAAATATATATATCAATTGACAGAATGACCTATCAATAACAAAAATTTAACATATAGAATTGATATAAAGATAAAATAATAATAATAATAATAATAAATACAGGACGTGTGACATTATTAACCTCCTAGGAAATTAAACAATATGTTTACGGAATGCTCCATATATCACTATATTAATTATAGGTATAACATCAACCTAATCGATTAATTATGATAAGACTGGCAAACTAGGGTTTGGCCTAGCGGTGGAAGGGGCTTGTCTCCTTCCATTGCATCTGGGTTCAAGCCCTAGCGTGCATGCCTGTCACCCCCGCGGTGCCTTACATGCCTACTGGGTTTGCAGGATATTCAGTGGGCCGTAGGGATTAGTCGTGGTGCGCGCAAGCTGACCCGGACACCCCACGTAAATCAAAAAAAAATTATGATAAGACTGAAAAAATAAAAATTATGATAAGAATGAATTCAAACATTGTGTGATGGGCAACGAACTTCTTAACTTTGTGTGTACCATTGTCGACAGCAGATAGCATATTTTTTCACATCAACATCAACGTTGTTGGTCTCGT